AAAACACACTTGGCTTTTTTTTTTTATAAATTAGAAGTTGTTAATTAACCGATTTTTACCAATAATTATTCTATGAATACGTCACGAATTCATTTCATGTGTGATCTTAATTTCGATTGGCTCACAAAGGAATTTACCACCGTTTGATTGCCTAGACTGCACTTTTCTGCCTCTTTGTTGGTCATACTTGATTTCGCAAAATTTATTTATTGCAGTTAGCTATGAAATGTGAGGTAAGGATATACTATGGGGTGGGGGTGGTAGTACTTGCCCCATCATTTTTGACGGGCTATACGCTAGTGTTCAATAAGTGCCGAGCGACGTGTAGGCCTACACTTCACATCACCGTGAACAGATATAAATAAACATGGGTACATCTTAAACAATTACCATTAACACAATAAGCACAGCACGTGAGAACTGGAACACTTATTCAAATACAACTGGTATAAATATGTTAGGGTTAATTCTATAAAATATTTACATGTTTAAAGCACGTTAGTAATTAATTTTTATCGCCCATTTGTTGATATCGAATAAATATTATACAAACGTGTACGTTACTAAGTTATACTAACATAACACAATATCGTGTGTAGCAATTAGTGAAAAACCACAGTAAACTGAACAATCTGTCAGAAGTCTGATATTATAGAAACTAGTTTCGACACATTCGTGCGTCTTCTTCGGTCTCACTTTGTTTTCTGACAGTTCCGTTTACTGTGGTTTTTCACTAATTACTAAGTTAATTACCCCTCATTACAAAATGTGATAATCACATGTATATTTGTTTAATGAGAGAATACTACATACGTGTTGAAAAATTAACTTTTTTGTATAACTTGATTAATACAAAGAAAAGAAAAAGGTACGCAGACAGAGGGGGGGGGCGTTCTGAAGATTACTGTGAGAATGACAGTTGATGAAAGATGGATCTGTTATAGTGTTTTTATCACTAAAGAAACCTGCTGTTTCGTATCGCCTCAGGTTCAACCAACTTCCTAAATTAATTGAATCTTATCAAACGAGCTTATTAGATTTTAAGCCTTTAATAAGTGATGGGATGTGGGAGGGAGGTGGATATAACACGTGACCTTCCTGAATGTTTAACCCCTTCCGATGTACACGATCTGCCTGCATGGTTTACGTCTGACCTGAAGATGACCTTTTTAAATTGGCTAACCGTTAATGCAAATCAACAGAACGTTTCTTGTTATCGTAGGTCATAGATACTTAACCTTTACCCCCTGTAACATGACCTCTTAATGATGGAATTCATCAAATACACCTTAAATAAAAACTGCCCTTGTGACATAACGTAATCGGTGCTTCGGATACAGTTTTTGTGAGTATCGCAAACTTAGTATTACAATTTCAATAATCACTCGAACTAAACTCATGTCTAATGTTCTTCCAGATGAAATCTTGTTTCTCTGATTAATAATAAAAGTTGGGTGTAATTTTAAGCGAATTTACTAGAAAATTCAAAATACAAGAATGTTAGCACTCGGCATCGCATTATTGTAGGCCTAACGTACTTTAAAACCGTTACGACGTATGACAGAATCCGTGCAATTCAGTGTTACGTTGTGTACCCACAGAACTGTTGACACTATAATATACCGAGCATATTGCCCCCCCCCCCATCCCTATAGAGAATACAAACCATGTGCAATTAACTTTGATGTAGAAATACAATTAAAGTTATGTAAATACACAAACAGCCATGACGAAACATAACATTCCTCACTATGATGTGTGGGCCCTGCCTCACCAACAGCGAATACTATTATATAAAATAGATATCTTGAAGGTTGCACATAAAAAACTAGAACACTGCTTGTCAGATCTTTTTCGTTGTTTGTAATAAATGTTCTTTTAACAAAACGTAATATAAATTTCTCATTATAAGCACCAAATATTAGCACCTGCTAATGATATTTTCAAGTGGCCAGAGATAAAACAGAAAGTAATTTTAAAGGAAAAGTATAATGTAAACGTCAAAAATAACAAGTTCAAATTAACATTTAAGTTGATAGTAGTAACTTATTGGAGGAAGAGGTCCTCATAGCACCTGATCCTCGCAGGTCGACGACCAAAAACCAATAAAATGAGGAGTAACATATTGGAGGAAGGGGTCCTCATTGCACCTGATCCTCGCACGTTGACGACCAAAAAACAATAAAATGTGACGTAACATACTGGAGGAAGGGGTCCTCATTGCACCTGATCCTCGCACGTTGACGACCAAAAAACAATAAAATGTGACGTAACATACTGGAGGAAGGGGTCCTCATTGCACCTGATCCTCGCACGTTGACG